GGACATATTTCTAAACCTCTCTGTGCCCCATTTTCTTCAATCATTAGGTGAGGCTAATAATACTGCCCAGTTTATAGAGCTGTGGTGAGGATTAAAGGAATTAGCAAAGCATTTAAGGCAATTTTCATTATACGATAAGTGTTCGGTAGTGCTGGCTATTACTATTAGAAATCTAAAACCTTATTAGAAGAGAAGTGTTGTCTTTCACCTTTGGTTTCTATAAATAGTGCAGGCCTTCTCTGTCATATGGCAGGTGGTGGTTTTGGAAATGCAAGCAGGTTCTTCAAGTCCTCCAGGCTCCATTCTAGGCTTGCTGACCTAGTAGCCTAAATAAAAGATTGAAGTTTACTGTTCACCAGTTTAATTAGAACTGAAGCCAAGTATCTCCATGGTTCAGAGGCTTCCTTGTGTACTGCTACACATACAGCTTTTTTCCAGACCTAATTCAAATGTCTCTTCCTCCATGCAGCCTTCCCTGATTTCTCCCCCTTTGAAATCTCTCCATCAACCTAGAGGTAATAATTTCTCTGAACTTCTAAAATACTTCTTCTGTACCTACTATTTCTACCTGCTACTAGAATCCCTTGTGTGTAGCTCACAATTTTCGAATACTACCCAGGCGGTATCAGTGCCAGGTTGTCCTTCATATCACCTACAGCGCCCTGCACACAACAGATGCAGAGTAGATGAGTGTCAGTGAATGGATTTATCTACCACGGCGTCAACAAGGTGAGCTCTGTCAGTTGGGGTGTGTTGAGCTGTAAATAAGAGAAATCCAACTAATGTGCCTGCAGTAGGCAGAGTGTGGAATTTCATCCGAGAGCAGAACGTCTGGAGGTTGTAGCCCCGTGACTGGCCTCTCCACGCAGCAGTGTCAGGGCTCGGAGTCACCATCTCCAGGCTCCTTTAGGCCTTGCTCCTACTCATAAAATAGCTGCCACAGCTCTAAGCACTGCTGTCCCCTTTTGTTATGTCTCTTTGGTCAGACTGGGTCACATGACCAGTCCCTGGTGAAAGAGAAAAGAGTTGCCACCAGTCCTCTTTTCTAAGGTAGAGTCTGGGGTCAGTGTTGACACCTGGCTTCAGTGAGCAGGGGAGGAGGAGAGATGGCTGCTGATTGGACGGCCAACCACATCTGTTGCCCCAGGCTTTGCTGCTACTTTCATGCCAAGGAAACAGGGAGAGCCAGAGAAGTTTCTCTTAACAGAGAGGTAGATTTCTGGTCAAGAGACCAGTATATATTTGAGAGCACTTGAGCCTTTTATGAGTGTTGAAAATTAATTGCCATCTCATAGATTTGAACCATTGTTTATTTAAAACATTTTTATATTTTGAAAGACAGGATCACCGAGTGTTTAAGAGCACAGAGATAGAGTGGCTGCTTCACCGTTTTCTTGCTGGGTGACCTTGCACAATTTCCTTAACCTCTCTGTGCCTCAGTAAAATGAGAATAATGATAGACGATGTCATAACTTTGTTTCTGAGATTAATCTACATATAAAACACACATCATTTACAACAGCACTTGGCACACAAGAAGCACTCTTTAAGTTGCTATTATTACATGTTCTTAATCAGTAATCCTGTCACTCTTTTGAGATAGAAACAGTGAGAATTTTAAAGTCAGAGATGCTAGATGTCCGGCCCCTGCTCCCACACCTGGGAAGGTGCGGGCGAAGGGGGTGATGCCTACACTTAGGTGCCCAGCCCTCTTGACCTCCCCCTCTGATTCTCTGTCGGACACTTCCTGAAGGTGATAGGACTGCACCTATGGCCTCAAATAAACTGTGAATTAGACAGTTCTCTGAGAACAAGGACTGTCTTAAGGTCTCTTCTACTCCCAGCCCGTGACAGGAGGGAGGGCACAGGGCAGACTCTGGTCACCTGGGTCTTGCAGGGGAGCCGGAGTGTCGGCGGGCAGGAGCCGAGCAGGAGTCCGGCGGACGTGCGCCTCCCCGGAGGGCGGGGCGGGTGGTGCGGAGCGAGGGCCCCGCTCTGCAGGTCGGCTACACTTGCGCTTTAGGGAACCGCTGCTGAGCAGTAAGTGTTAACAGCGTGAAAAATGAATACAAATCAGCTTGTCTGAATTTACTCTCAGAATCCCCTGTGGACTCTACAGAATGTCATTTTACCTTTTTCCCTCCCACCTGGCTGTGGAGGCAGCGGCGGATTTACATTATTTTACATCCAGTTAAGATTTTCTTTTCCTTTGGTTATGTTTTTAAGAAGAATATTTATTTCCCATAAAGACGTGCTTTTGTTAACAACAATAGTGCCCTTTAGGCAGCCACACGATGCTATTTCACAAATACCTATGAAACTGCTCACCAGTCTGGGGCTGCTGGAGCTCTGATTGCAGGTGCTCCATGTTCGTCTCTGCATTCAAAGGCCTGTGAGACAGTTCAACCAAGTCGCCCCTGGTCAGGAGGCCGCCTGGTGGAGGGCTGTGGGGGACACGGGCAAGTCCGCTCAGGCCTGAGTGGGCAGGGCTCTTGTTTACCTTCTCATCCTCTCCCGAGCCTCTTCTGTGCTGGGATCTAGCTTAGGACTTCACTTATGTAAGACAGGGGTCCTGGGCATCTGCAGGTGGGACCAGAAAGTGTGAGGCTAGGACCAGGCAGGGGGCGGAGGGGCCCGTCACTGACTGCCTCGCGGCCCCAGCTCCTGGCTCTGCCACCTGGGAGCTGTGTTTCTGGCACAAGTTACTTGGCCCCTCAATGCCTCAGGTTCCTCACTCTAAAATGGGGGTGATAATTATATAACCATCTTCCCAAGGATATTGAGAAGATTTAAAAAACCATGCCTTGAACTGCATTTGGCCTGTTGTCTGGCCCCAGAGGTCTCAGTAAATGCTACTAAGAAAGGAGGCAAGAGAGCAGACTTCGGCATGAAGCTTCACCACCTTGGTTTCTTTCAGACAGTCTGCCCAGAAGCCAGCTGCCCTTCTTGTCCAGAGTTCCCGGCATTCTCTCTGGTCCAGCATTTCAGGCTTTGTGAGCAGTCTGCGTACCTTCCAGGGATGGTGGGGATGCGGGTGGGGGCGGGGAACTGGCTCAAACACAAATGTGCTCTGAGCGCAGACACGGGAGCAGCTGTGGGAAACTCACAGGGCAGACTGAGAGCACAGCTGGACCTCAGAGTTCAGGTTCCACTGATTCAGAGTTGCTTTTTGTTTTTATTTATCTTTGGAGGGGAAGGGAAGGAGAGGGGGAGAGAAATATCAATGTATGGTTGCCTCTCATGCATCCCCTGCTGGGAACTGGCCTGCAATCCAGGCATGTGCCCTGACTGGGAATCGAACTGTGATTGTTTCAGGATTGTTGGTTCTCAGGCCTGCGCGCAGTCCACCGAGCTACACCAGCCAGAGCTGATTCAGAGTTTTAATCATTTGGTTAGCACCAGACCAAAGTGTTCTCTTGCATCATTGGAAACAGGATTGTAGGGGCAAGATTTAAAGGCAGTGAAGAGAAGACACACCCCCGAGAACCTCTCCAGAGTTCAGAAGCCCTTCCTGTGTCACTGATCCGTAAATCGTATCCTTCCGAGCACTCAGGAGCCAGACGCTTTTCCAAGTGTCTCCTGGCTAATTCAGGTCGTCATCACAGGAACCCTGGGAAGCAGTTACCGCTATTATTCCCACTTTGCAGGCGAGAAAGCTAAGCAACAGAGAGGTGACCCAGCTGGTTAGGGGTGGGGTGGGGCTGAACCCGGGAGTCTGACCAGAGGGCGGTCGTTCCGCCCATTTGTTTGCTGGCAGGTGCTCCCTCCTCGACGATGCTCAGCACGCCCCAGTCCCCTCCGCTCCAGCCAGCTCGGTCTCTGTTTCCTAACGTCAATACTAACAGTAATAATAATTACTATAAGCTGTGTGAATTAATGGCATTGCTGTTGTTATCATCTGGCCCTTCCCAGCAGCCGGCCCCGTGTCCGGCCTCTGCCGCCTCTGCCGGACGAGAAGGCAGGTGCTGTTGTGACCACTTTAAGTCCTTAATCCTGAGGATCCCCGTTCTTCACATTATTTACGTTTTCAAATGTTTTAACATTTTCACTCATCGTTTTGCATTCCCTCATCACAGCCAGGCTCACAAACATAAAGTGATTGTGCATTTCACACCGTACCCAGGTGCTATGCTAATCACAAAATACTCGTAGCGCATCTGTGACTCAGTTCCCCCAAGGACCCATAGCAGTCAACGTGGTTGTTTTAGGTGTGTTCACCTGTACTTACACAAAGGAGGTCTGAGATTGCTCTTAAATTCGCTCTGAAATGTTCCCTCATTCAGTGTTTTCACACATTCACCACGGCCACACTTCCCCCACCCGCCTGATTTCTGGGCCTCCTGCACTGGGAGATGTTAACTGACAAAACGTTAAGTAATGGCCCTGGAATGTAAAGTAATTAATGCCAGGGTAGTAGTAGCACAGGGTGGGGGTCTCAGTGTTTTAATGAGGGCTCCCAAAACCAGCTGAGGGAAGGTGTTGGAAGCAGAGGGGGAGATGAATGTTACCATAATTAATGCTGCATGTTAAAAATGCCTATTAAAAAAAGTGGCCTCTTCTGCCTGATCAACACACGGACCCTGTAACCTTTCCTGTCACCTGGAACTTCACTGTGGGACTCTGTGGTTCTATTAACCAAAAAGATAATCACCAGTCTGCCCTCACTTACTGTGGAACCTTTCCAAGTTTGGGGAGTTTTGTTTTTTTTTTTTTTAGGATGAAATTAGAAATCACCATTTTTAGGAAATTTATGAGTGTATATATTTTACTCTCAGATATATGTATTCAATGCTAGCTCTGTAATGAGAGTTTTAACTTTCTGATTTTCTTTCCATTATCCCTGAAGAGAATGGATTATGGCAAAAAGATTAAAGTAGCGTAATGCAACGCAGTTTGCTAATGCCTGTGTTAGTGGGACTCACCAAGGTCTGTGTCTTTTATGAACGCCTTTCAGATTGTGATTATCTAATAGACTTGGAAACCTGTTTATATTCTTGCAGGCATTAAACGTCATCTTTGAAAAAATCCCAGAAAACGACAGTGCAGATGTCTGTCGGAATATTTCAGTCAATGTTCTTGATTGTGATACTATAGGCCAAGCCAAAGAAAAGATTTTCCAAGCATTCCTCAGCAAAAATGGCTCTCCTTATGGACTTCAGCTGAATGAAATTTGTCTTGGTAAGGCGCTGCCCGAGCTGTTTTGTCCCAGTCCCCAGAGGAGCACCCCTGCTACCCGCTTCCCCCCCTCCCTGCCCCCAGCACAGAAGCTTCCATCCAGGGACGCTCATCGGGCCTGTTGCTCCCAGAGGGCACGGCTAGTCCCAGAGAGACTGCACTGCTCTGCCGAGAGCATCATGATTCTTCCTAGGAGGCATAATTCTTCAAAGACACTGGTTTTCTTAATACTATGTTTGTAAATCACAGTGAGATTTCATACCCTGAGACCGAAGGATTCACCTCGCATCAAGAAATACAAAGAGGTGTAAACCCGTGCCCTCTGTGTGTGTCGTGTTTCACATTGGCATTGGATTTGTTTGTTGTGATACCCAGTGTGTCATTAGCGGGTGGCTTAGCCTCTTGGTGGTAACGCCAGCATGCTGGAAAGGCCATCCTCCTCTCTGCTAATCTCATCCTGCACTAAGTATATCCTCCACCCTCCCCCAACAGGAAGCGGCATCTGCTCGGAATTCATTTTCGGGCACTATTGGTGTACTGCAAAGGAGAGCATATGCGTGAGCCAACTAACACGGCTCCACTTCACTCAAATGTTCATCAGCACTTTACAGTTGATCTGCACACAGCCCGCGCAGGAGAGCGTCATGGGATTTTGTAGCAGATAATGGGACAGGAAGGAGAGTAGACTCAATTCAGTGACAGACAGCGTAACGAGGTTCATCTCCCCTCGTGTACAGTTCTAGCCTCCACTGAGCAGGCAATTAAAATCACCTCACCCCACCCTCCTGGTCAGACCTCATGCTTAAGCCTGCCTCTCATGACGAGTGGCTCTGACTGCAGAGCAGATAGACACACGGAGCCAAGAACCACAGGACGAACAGCCTGGTGGCCTCAGTCCTGCCACTGCCGAGTCAGTAGTAGGGTCCTCTCACCAATCCCAGCTTTGTGCCCATCAGGTGCTCCTGGCCTCCTGATGTAGGAAGGCAGGAGCAGGACAGGCCAGCTAGAAGCTTCGCGCTGTACTCTGCTGGGAAATGGGACACAGCGTCCCAGCTGTGAGAGCTGCTGCACACCTGCTGATCTTCCAAACTACCTCCAAGGCTTGCCTCAGACGGCGAAGGCAAAGCCCTGGAAACCAGCCATTAAGTTGTATCTAGTACCAGAAGCAGCTATGCTCAGACCCCTGATGCAGAGGCTCACAGGCTCAGATGCTCAAGGAGGCAGGAACTATCATAACCAAGGAGTCTGGGCCTGCGTGGGACAACAGGAGATGATGGGGCCCAACTGAACTGGGAAAAGACGCACCACCTAAGAGGCCAGTGTTACTGAGCTTTAGCCGATGGTAGGCCTGTATGGTCCGTGTTGCCAGATGATACAGTTTTTTTAAAAGAGAAAGCAGAAGTGCAAATTTTTGGAACATGCTATGTTCCAGTCATTGAATGTTGGTGCAGAATTGACACTAAAATAATAAATAAAACACGGTGCAGGGGCACAAAAAGAGAACGCACACATCTGTGGGCCACATTCCAACCCTCGGCACAGGCTGGCGACCTCTGTGAAGGAGCTGGAACCCTGTGCTTTGGGGCATTGGCCCACCAGTGTCTCCTACCCAGGAACCTGCAGAGAGTAGCTCGCAGCATGCCTGATCGTGAACACAAAGGCCACGCGTGTGAGCGTACAGGTTTGCTTGGGAATTTCTGAAGAACTAGTCCCTCTGAGGAGGCCTTATTCTGTCTTTATCCACCTTCACTTCCAGGCTGAGCCACAGAATAAAAGCTTCAGGAAAAAGTGGTCTGAAAAGTGAAGCCCTGACCATAAAAACAGAAACAAAACAAAACTCAGGCTGCTGGCCTGGCTGATAGGTTGCTAAATGTTCCAACAAATATTTACCACTCCATTTACATTTAATCGATTTATGAGTGATATTTGCAAAAGTGACAGGGTAGCATTTAAAATTTCTCATTGCAATTTTAAAGCAACTGAAGTGCTCTTTTTTTCTCCAGAGCTTCAGGTGGGCACACGGCAGAAGGAACTCCTGGATATTGACAGCTCCTCTGTGATTCTCGAAGACGGCATAACCAAGCTTAACACCATCGGCCACTATGAGGTAAGAAGGAGGCTTAGCCCCCAACGTCCCCTCCCTCAGCCCCAGCCCTAACTGGACAAGGTCATCCTGGTACCTCGTAAATTCTTTTTAAAAATTCCAGGACTCCCAGCCATTTTCTAGAACAGTTTGCAGATTGCCTTTCTCTGGGGCAGAAGTTTCCCTTAGTCGCTCGTTTGGAGGAGCCCGTGGTTCACTGTCTCTCGTGGTTCCCCTCTCCAACAGCTCCGATTTTCATGTGCGCCCATTGCTCTCCATCCTGCAGTTTAGGTGGGAAAGTCCCCATTATAAGATTCTCTGGCCTCTCAAAACTCATTTCTCAGCAAAGCCCTAGAAGAGTTACCATTTAGCTTGATGCTGAATAAAGCCTGTAAGAGTCTCAGGGCTCACCACTGTCCCGTGTTCACGGCAGACCACACCTTTCAGTGGGCTCCTTTTTTCTGAAGGGGGTCTACATTTCCTGTTTGTGATATTCAGCCCTACCTCCTTTGGCCCCTGACCCACATGCTGGGTGAGTGGCAGTGTGGGTGAGGGGTGGGGGTGGCCACTCAGAGATCTGAGAACCCTGCAGAGAATAAGAGAGAAGGCAGGGAAGGACCCTGAACACGCTGGGATAATGGTAGTCATTCGGGAATATTATCCAAATCTTTGTCAAATACCTACTATGTGCTAAGAGCTGGGGATGCTTATGAAAAGAAGAGAGCCTAGGCCCTGCCCTCACAGAAGCTACAGCCCAGGGGAACTGATGGAGAAGGGAGGAAGAGATGAGTAATGAGGCAACACCGTACAGAGGACTAGTGCTATGGCTCAGAGAATCTGGGGAGGCTTCCTGGAGAAAGCTACAACTAAGCCAAGACCTAAACTTACCCAGGGTGAGGTGGGGTGCCAGCACACCCAGCAGAGATGGGGGAACATGTGTTTTTCCAAAAAATACTTCAGCTACAATTTGAGTGGGGCGGGGGTGGCAGAGGGATAATAATAGTCAGCTTTCTGGAGCCCTCACTCTGCGCTGCACGCTGACCTTAGCATTTCTCCTTATCTCGGCTCATTCTGTCTTCTAGCAGCTCTATGAATTGGCACTGTTATTAACCCACTTTATAGGTGGTACAGTGAGGCTCAAGGAAGTTTATTACTAACAGCAGCTGACAGAGTGAAGATTTTAATCCAGGAAGCTGGGCCCCATGAACCTGCGGCTTCACCAGTATACACCGCAACTCCTCAAGGGGAAGCCAGAGAAGTGGGGGCAGAGGGCAGAAGAGGGGTGCAGATCATGCAGGCCCGGTCAGCTTCCTCAGGGGCTCAGATTTCATCTCAAGAACAGTGGGAAGCCACTGGGGAATCTTAAGCAGGGGAGATTTGTGTTTCAGAGGTGACGGTGGCTGTGTGGAGGGCACAGACGGAAGGGGTGCAAACCTGGCAGTGGGGAGACCCTGCAGACGCTGCCATCAGGGGAACCGCAGGCGAGGGGTGGTGCCGACCAGAAAGGGCACCGTGGCTCTGGAGACAGACGCAGGGAGAGGGGTTCAGGGGTGGGTGGGAGGCGGACACCACGAGCCGCGTGGGTGGGAGAGAGCCCAGGGAAGGGACAGGTCGGGGTGGCACCCAGGGATGGCAGGGCAGATACATAGGTGCAGGCGTTCTTCCAGAGACGGAGAAGACAGGAGGAGCAGCTTCCAGGCCACTTGGAGGGTCAGTGGCACCCCTGTTTCATGGCTGTCAAGCCCCAGGGAGACATGTCTGCACCAGGAAGGCCACTGGCCCCTGCCGGGCACCCCCTCAGCCAGGAGGAAGGGGAGACTGTCCCTCAAGCACAGCTTTCTGGACAACAGCCAGGAGCAAAGAGCACCTCAGCCTTAGGCTCGGCTGAGTTGGCTTCTCACCCAGTCTGGAAACAGCTGCTGTGGGCGGCAGCTGGGCGGGCGCTGCCCCTGCAGCCTTTGCTGGAGGCTCCTCGCAAAGAAGGCTGTGGATTGACAGCTTGCTCTGGCGCTCACCCTCGGGCAGCTCAGACTTCCAGCCCTGGAATCATCTTGCCAAGGGAGCTGTTGTTCTTAGTTTTGGAGATTATAGACCGCCCCTGGGGAACTTTCTGAAAATTCAGTAGTATTCCTCTTGCTGGGCCACACTGGGAAAAGCAGTATTCTAAGGCAGGGTGTCAAACTCATTTTCACCAGGGGCCACATCAGCCTTGAGGTTGCCTTCAAAGGGCCAAATGTAATTTTGGGACTGTATAAACATAACTACTCTAACAGTTAAGCAAGAGCTTGGGGCTGCCACTGGGTAGAAACAAGGTGCGGGCTGGATAAAACAAGGTAGAGGGCCGGATTCGGCCTGCGGGCCTTGTGTTTGCCACCTGTGCTCTAAGGAATTTAGTGGAGAGATGGACATTAGAGCAGGTGGAAGTGCTTAGAGAGGAGCTTATTGCGGCATCAGTTTGAAGTTCAGGTTGCAGACCCCCAGCCACTTCCTCCTCCTGGTAGCCAACTTGTATCAGCAAGTTTGGAAGGAGCACAGCCCTCCTTTGGTGCTTTCGGCTCAGGTGCTTGCCACGCTCAGCTGTGTGAAGAAAGCTGGGCACCCTGGTCAGGTTTCTTAGTGTCCCCTGGCAACTCTGTGGCATGGGGTGGGCCCCAAAGGAAGGAAGGAGCTGGTGGATTATCTACCACCTCCATTAAGGGGAGACAGGGCAAGCAACCCCAGCAGGGAAAATGAGGGCCCACCACAACTGTCTGCAAGGCGGGGAAGGCTGTCGAGAGAGAGAGAGAAAGAAAGAGAGAGAGAGAGAGAGAGAGAGAGAGAACATCAGTGTGCGCTGGAGATGTCCGCCGTGCTAGACACCTCTCTGCTGGGGGATGATAATGAAATTAATCCAGCCTGTAGTCACTTCCCATCCAAATGATTTATTGGCCTCATACCCTAGCATTACCACATGGTGGTAATAAATGACAAGACTAGGATGCAAGGGTTTAAAGGATTCTCCTTATATTTACAAAGCTAAGCTATAAGACAAAAACAAAAAAACAAAAAACAGGGAGTTTGAAGGAAATGGGGAGGTCCCTGGGCCCCATGAGTCCTATACCTGGACCATCTCGAATACTCTGTTTTCCAAACACTGCTCAGAAGAAAGTAGCCACCACTCTCTGCCACCTCAATCCATACCTGGTTCCGTGGCACATGGCAGTTTCCACATTGGGAGTAGTTTGACAGGGCCAGGCTGAAACCTGCTTTTGCCCTTTCGTTAGAGAACAGTTTCCTCCTGAGTGTTTGCATCTCCCTCCGGAGAGACAAGATGCTAAGTATCACTCATATTCATTTACTCAAGTGCCCTAGTTTGAATCACTATAAGTGCTTGAAAGCAGAAAAAACCTGTATTTTATTGAAAAATGGGGTCTAACTCAAGAATTTTAAGTGATTCAGCAGCATCCTCCTCCTCCAATTAGCACTAATTCGTGAGGTTTTAAAAGTTAATCTTTAGTGCCAGGCCAGTTCCTCCTAGCACCCAAACACAGCCCCCGTTGTAGGGTGTGAGTCTGTCCTTGTCTCCTCACTCTGTCCTTGGGGCACACAGAGTGGAGCTGGTCTGCTTTGAATGTGTTACTGTCCATTGAAGAGCAGGTTTCTACAGGGAATCAGGGAGCACAGCAAAAATATAGCATCTCATGGGCCAGGTACAGGTGGCCTCCAGAGCTCTGAACTGCTGGCAGCGCCCTGTCACCTACAGGATGGTGGCACGCTTGCCAACCCTGGGCATTGGCACGGTAGCTTTCCATGATGATAACACAGCAGCCCGTGCCCAGCACTGGTCACATGCGTGAGCCCAATTCATGCTCACAACCAGTTCCATCAGATGAACACAGAGGAGGGCGGCTTTCTGCTCTGGTCTCATTCTGTTCTGTGCAGACAGTGGAGTAAAGCTGGTGTCTTTAAACACATAAAACCAAAGGCATCTGTCTCCCTATAATTAAGTCCTCCTGCGTGCTTCTGTGACTGGCTGTTGCAGTGTACGTGATGGCTGTGAGGGGAACGTGGTGTGTTCTGGGGCTGTGTGGATGTGTTGGGGCTGGGGGGTGGTTTTTCAGGGTCCAGGCCTTTCTTCCCCTCATCTCCCCCGCCCCCTGTGACCTTTTACTGGCCCGAGTTATTGCACCCACAGCCTGCTGTGGAGTGGTGTTAAGTGTGTAGGGCAGGTGTTGGATCTGGCAGGAAGCGTTCTCTACAGATCGCACTTCTCACTCTGAGCTGTGAAGTTTTGAAGGGCAGCTAACCGTTGTGTTGCTGAAGAGTGTGCCTTATAGCAGGTGAAGTGGTCAGTGCTAATGTCAAAGCTGTCATTCGAAGGACATTTAGAGCCCATAGGAATGTCCCCAAGGGCCTGCTGAGTAAAAGTAAGTGGTCCTTCCATACAGGTGTGTCGTGTATGGCACTAGAATGAAGGCATTGCACTGTCTCCAAAGATTTCTTACAGAATGAAGGACTCAGATGCTTATTTAACAAATGTGTGGAGTGCTTGTGTACCGAGCACTGTTCTAGGCACTGTGACAGTGACTCCTTCAGCCCTCCTTGTAGCCCTGTGAGGTACATGCCCTCGTCATTCCTATCCTAAGGCACAGGGAGGCTGAGAAATTTGTCCACGGTCACACAGCTCTCCTCACTGACGTCCCAAGGCCAGAAGCAGATAGCAAAGGCATTGCATCAGGGCCGGAGGGACACCTTTGCTCAGAACCAGGCTTGCAGCCCGTGCTCCCGGCCTCCGAGCAGCCTGGCTGCAGGGCTGGGGCCAGTTTAGGAGAACGCTTGGTAGTTACCTTCTCTGATGTCGCATTCAAAAGTAATTTGGGTAATTTCAGATCTTATGATGGCTGTAATGTCTGTGAGTTTATCAAAATACTTCCTTATTTCTAATCCTACTATAACATCACTCCTTGAAGATGATGCTAGTTACCTTCATCAGAAGGGAGGTCTCTTTCAGGCATCCGAGATCTGACAGACAACCCCAGCCCAAAAAGAACATGGGGTACACTTAGCTTCCCAATTTCACACTCACCACTGGAGGCCAGACTGCCTCCCAGAGGACAGGCTGAGCTTTCTCCCTCACAGTCCTCAGGGAGTTTGCTGACCGGCCCAGGGCTAAGTCCAAGTACACAAGAAGGAAGCAATTTCAGTGTCTTCAAGAATCCTTTAGAGCGCAGGCCTGGCTGTCCAGGACTGTGCGTGTGATTCGATGTGTCTGTTGAGAATGCTCTGAAGAGCTGGGCCCCCATCACTGAAGAACTGAGCAAGGTCACCCTGTTGGCCCTGAGAAGGATCCCCATTTCCTCTGCCTCCAGCCTTGGGGTGTCAGCCAGAGAGCGAAGGCGGAAGACGGGGCGAGTGGTATTGACATGTGGCTGCTGACACAATGCTAGTAGAAAAGAACTGTTTTTACATAATAACCGTTTTCAGAATGAGAGAAACCAGCAAGGGCTTCTACATGGTGATTTATGTTGATTATTGTGTTTTCATATCTTTTAAGGAAAAAATATTTCAGTCTTTATTCATAATTAAATATGACTATTTTTCATAATTTTCATAAAATTTTAGGCTGAAATTTCAGCTTTCCTTTTAGGCTAAATTGATGATATCATCAATATTTGATCATATTTACCTATCAAAATGACAGTTTCATAATATTAAATATAAGTTCAACCTTATAGTGCTAGAAAATCCATTTTTATGGAATTATCTTCAACTCGGGCCATAAAGTTAGTATTTTAGCACAAAGAAATCTCACCTTCACTTGCAAATGGTTGGGAGGATGTGCAGCTGCTGCTTATTTCAAGACCTGCATTGTCGACGGGTGTGCGTGTCTCCCGTTCGATGGCGGGAAAGTGCACACTCGTCTCCGCAGCATTCCAGCAGGGGCCAGGCCTTGTCGTCACATCCCATCCCGGAGCTCTGCAAGACTGGAAGGAATTTAATTTGAAATTGCCGTGTGGACCAGTTCTGCTCTGGGCCGGAGGAGTATTCCTGCCTTCGATCCACCCAGTGACATTAATCTTTCTTTGATTTAATTTGGTTTTCATTCCTCAAGTGGGCGCCCAGAGGATGCTCCCCGCCTCACAGGAGCACAGGAGGATTGATGAGTCACTTTTAGGAACACATTTGGAGCTCCTCTGGTAGAACAAACAGCATTATATTTTTAACACTTTGGATTCTGTGACACTCTTCAAAAAGACGTTTCTGTCCTTAACTTGGTAGCAACTGACTTGTGCGAAGTACAAAATGAAGCTCACCCCACCCCCAAACATCTGTAAATATACTAGTTTTGTGTCCGTGCAATGAGGTTGGAGTATCACACGGGGGAAAATGCTGCAGCCCTACAGCAGCTGCGAGAGTTGGAAATGCACTCACACATACCCCTGCTCAGAAACACACAACTCATCTGCTAATGAAATGCTTTTACACTTGCTCTCGGGAGATAATTTCAAAGTAAAATTTCCCTGGGACAAGCCGCGCCTGCGCGCTCTCCGTGCCTGCGCACAGCACCGGCCGTGGGTCGGTGCCAGCTCCGGGAGAGACATCTGAACCTTGGCAGCGCTCCTTATCAGAGGGCCCATCCGTGGTGTTTGTGATTATAGAGTACGGGTGCTCGCTTCTGGCAAAACAAAGCATCTGACAGTAGCAGTATTGGCCCAACACTCGACGGGATCCATTTGGGATTCATTCTTTGACAATTACCCAGAATGAATCGCAGCTTCCTTTCATAAAAAGATATTTATTGGCTTAGAAACAGATCATATCCAGCTCTTCGTGGGGAAGAATTTTGTAACTATGTTCTAACATTCTCATAAAACCCAGAGTTGGAGGGTTGCTAAGGGGGAGCCTGCACACAGTGTTCAATTGCATCAAATATGGAGGAAAATTGAAAAGTCAGCCAGAAAAGCGATGCATGGCTCAAGGGGAAAGGAGAGGAGGTTTGGTAATAGCAGAGTCAAAGAGCCCAGTAAAAGTTCAGAGCCTCGCTCAAGACACTTTACAGAGGGCTGATGGCCGCAGCCCACCCCTGCCTAGACCCCCCCTCCCCACAAGATGTCATGAACACCAGCAAGTAGTTGGAGGCCTGTGGCCCCAGTTCAGCAGCTGGCTGGACACAGCTGGCAGGACGGCTGTGCTCTGGGGCCTCTTCAGGGCTGGCTCCCGCTGTGTTCCTTCCTCTGTGGGTGCAGCCTGAAGGGGCTTTTAGGCCTTAATCCTCTGTGCTTGCTAAGGAGGTTTGTACGTACTGATAGCCAACATGCAGCAGGCCAGAAGAGAAATCTAAGTTTCTACTTTTTTGCAAACTGGGGAAGGCCAGATCCAAATTAGTATTAGAAAACAGCCTTAGAGCTTTAGGGTGGTGGGAACAGCATAATCCCAGAATGAAGGTGAGGATTTCTGTACCCGTGATCTGCCTCTTCTTTTTGGGGAGCAGCACCTCAATGCAGTTTGCTTCTCCCAAGGATGGAGACCTGCCACTGCATCTTAGCCTTCAGCTCCCCTGGGCAGGGTGGGGAGGCTGCACTGGAAGGCCTGGCTCTGGCTTTCCCTGTCCCAAAGGCCTCAGGTGAGAACTCTTGTCTTTATCTCCAAAAGAGACTCCACACAGGCATTGCAATAGTGTGTCAGGGTGGGAAAAGCATTTATTTGTCAAACGTGTACATTTTAAACCTGTGGCAATTCTTTAACAGTTCTATTGAGATATAGTTTATATACCATAAAAGATCACCTTTTCAAAAGTATACAATTCAGAGGTTTTTGGTGTACTTACCGAGCTCTGACAGTAGGCGGCGGTGTAGCTCACCACTGCCTACTGTCAGAACATCTTCATCGCCCCAAGAAGAAGCCTCAACCTCATTAGCAGTCACCACCACCCCGGCCCCCGCTCCTCCGACCTCTGCTGTAGGCAGTTAGCAGTCTCCTTTCCATCTGTAGAAATCTGCCTGTTCAGGACATTTTTCATACACGGGATCGCGCCATCTGTGGTTTTTGTGTCTGTCTTCTCTCATTTAGCATGTGTGAGTACTCCTTTCCTTCTAGTGTATGGCAGTTCTTTGTAGTGTGTTCATGCAATGGAATAATACACAGTAATTAAAAAGGGACAAAGTACTGGGAGCAGCAACAACTTGGATACACATCACAGACCTTAGTATCGACCCTAAGAAGCTAGACACAAGAATATATACTGATGACTCCATTTACCTGACATTCAAGAACAGATACAACTAACAGTGGTGGAAGCCCAAAAAGGAAGGGGTAGTTATAGACTGGAAAGGGATTGTGGAAGTACTTCTCAGGACCTTGAAATACAGTTTTATGTCTTGATATGGGTGGTAGCTACACAGGTATGTAGTTTGGTGAACATTCATTGAGCTGCACAGTTTATATCAGTGAATGTTAAGTACCTTCCTTTAAAAATTAAATTTTTATTTAAAAATGTATGCAATTTTTATGATTTTACAAACTGCCTTTTCAAAATTCATACACCTGCAAGTGTACTGCTGATGAGTTGGAACTCCTGTAGCTTCCACTCAAGCCAGGAAGTAGGACACTCCACTAGGGCCGCCAGAAGCCCCCGCCCTCCTGATCAGCACCCCTGCTCCCTTCTCCAAACCTCTGGCACTGTAGTCCTGACTGGTTTTTTAGTTTTACGTGAATGAAATCACACAGTATGCATTCCTCTGTGTTGGGCTTCTTTTCTTTTGCTCAGCGTCATTGTGAGTTTCATCCACCTGGCATGTAAGTAATTTGTTCATTTTCATTGTTTCATTATAACATTCTGTTGTGTGAACATACCTCAAAGTAGTCTGTTGATGCATTTGAGTCATTTCCAGCATGCGGCAGTCACAAATAGCACACTCTCAGGCTGTGTGCTGGATTCTGCTGGGCACACACCTAAAAGGGAACGGTTGTGTTGCAGCCAGACACCAGCTTTGTGGAGACCAGTGACTTACTAACACAACAGGAAGCTCCGAAACAAGGGTGGCCCAAGTATCTCTTAACCTCTGGGAGCTGGAGGTGTATCTTAGCACGGCTTTGCCTCCCTTCTTCCAGGGGAGACCAGCCCCACTGGCCCCACAGCATCTTGGCCCTGCGGCATCGCACTGCCTGGGCGGTCTCAGCCCTGCGGGGAGGGCTCCTTGACAACAGTGTCTCCCTCACCGTCATTGTTCCACCTTCCGACACAGCGCCCAGAACACAGGAATTCCTGATAAATATTGATTTAAAAAGTGAGATCGTACAATCCAGCCATCCATCTAATTCCTGATATTGAGAAATATTTGAAATTTTGACAACTCATGTATTTGTTATCTTTGCTTTCAGATATCAAATGGATCCACTATAAAAGTCTTTAAGAAGATAGCAAATTTCACTTCAGGTAACCCACATAATGTTAACCTTTTGTTCTCACTCAGTCTTAAAAAGTATCACCTTTGCCTCTCAAGAAAGGTGCGACTGCATTGTTGCCATGTAGTTCTCTGGAAGCAGAGAAAAGCCATTCGGGCCTGTTTCTAGTCCTGGGAATGAGCCCTGCAAGGAGGACAGGAAGCTGTAAAGAGTGGTTAGCCCAGACACCCAGCACCAAGGAAGTTGCTGCCTCTCACCGGCCCTCACCTCCGGCAGAGTCTGTGTCCTTGCCAACTCCTCAGTAGGCTGGGGCTGACAGGAGAGAGCCCCGCACGGTGGGGGAAGCCCGCGGATAATCATATAGCCCTGCAAGTGCTGAACAAACAAGGTAATCGGGTAGGCAGCCCAGACCTCCCAGCGACAGCATTTGCAACATTGCCACAAAGTGGAGAAAAGGCAAACTAAAGAGGGAGCTTTTGTGGGAAAGTCACTAGGCCACTCTCTAAACTCTCTTCTGCCTCCCTGATGGCTGAAAACACTGGGGCAGTGTCCTGAGAGAAATCCCTGGGCCCAGTTCCAGGTTCATTTCCAGAGAAATTAGAGCCCTGCCAAGACGAACAGGCCTCAGCCCTCAGCAAGGTTCCGGGCCTCACCGACAGGGCCCCTCTCTCACAGTTGGAGGCGGGGATTCCCGATTCCTGGATTCTGTACTAAAAGGGAGCCTGGTGGGTCCTACCACCTGGTCATAACAAACGGGCGTGTGGGGCTCCCGATGAAATAGACCGGCAGTTGGGTAGGTTGCAGGACACTGTTTGGGGATCCCCACAGCGTCCATCGTTACGTCGGGCTGGAGTGACAGAAGCCACCTTGCACAGGGTGGCTGTCATCCTGGCATAGGGGGACTTGTGCTTGTGTCATGAGGAGTGGAAGAGCTGTGTTGCAGGCTTCAAAGACTGAGCCTTCTGCACAGCTCGTTATTTGGGGATCTTGTGTTTGGTTGGATCTCTTCGTTGGACCTTCAGGCAGTCGGCGCCTCTGCTTCCCTCTGCCCGGCCCTGCTGAGAGCCCTTATTTTGATCACTCTGCTGCTAACCCTCAACACCCTCCTGCCCTCTGGCCTTTTTCCCCACCAGCTCTGTCAAACACCCAGCCCGAGGCGAACCCAGCAGCCAGCCTTTCCTGAGCCTGCTCCCACTGTTTCTCTAGGCATCTCGGCCGCCTTCTCCACAGTCCTACCCTCTCTCCTCAAAGCCTGACCCTTACAGTTCTCCTGACCATCAGCAGGTGACTTTACCCTGTAATTCATGAGAACCCGGAAATCAGAACTCCCTCAGCAACCAGCAGCAAACCCACCACCCGACGTGCATCGGCCCAGCTCTTCCTCCTGGTCTCCCCCACTCCCGGGGCTGCCCTTCCTCCCACCCAAGGCCCGCCTCTGCCTGCACTTTGTGCCCACCCTCTGTTCCCACCCTCCGGGCATTCATACACCACTAGTAATCTCCCCTGTCGCCTGCACTTTCCCTCCCTCAGCTACTGTATTTTTTCCCATGAGCATTTCAAGACGTTCTAGTCTCTCATCTTCAAAAAAAAAAAAAAAAAAAGTAAACCTCTCTCTTGCCTCCACTCGTCACTCCCTTTTCAGCCACGTTTCTTGCAGGATACCGTCTCTCCCTGCTACTCTCCCACTTGCTCAACAGGCCCCACCTCACTGCCCTTCTCACCGTACCACCTTTGCACCTGTTTCCCCTCCTCCATTTGCCTGGCTAACTATCCATTCATTTAGGTTCAGCTCCAACATCCTTTCCTCAGGGAAACCTCCCAGACTAGGTCAGTCCCTTGTTAGATACTTTCTTGGAATATAATTCTTCTTTACAATCTTTATCACAGTTGTAATTAAATAATTGTGTAATCAGTGGTATGATATTCTCTCATTGACTAGAATGTCAAGTCCATTAGGGCGAGAATGAGGTCTGTTTCCCTGTTGGATGCCCCGTAGCCTGTGGGACACAGTGGGTGCTCTGGGTGTATTTGATAATGATCGGTAGGGGGTATTTCCGCAAGTTTTCACACTTCCAGGGACAGGGAACTGCTTCCCACCCCAGTCCCTAGCCCAGTCTTCACACTGTTTTTAAGACCTTAAGACATAGCAGCAGGGGAAGTGCAGCTATGAAGAGCTCACGTCGCCTCTTCTTGGCACACACGGGGCATTTTATGAGAAGGCAGATTAGTCCGTGGTCTGTTTTTAATGGGCTGTTTTCTCTCCCCCGGTCTGGCACTCAGATGTGGAGTACTCCGACGACCACTGCCATTTGGTGAGTTCGGCTGTGCTCACAGCTGCATTGGACGCCTTCTGCAGCATGAACGGTCTCCCTGGGTAACACTTCTGCTCTGGCTTCCTTTAGATTTTACCAGATTCGGAAGCATTCCAAGATGTGCAAGGCAAGAGACATCGGGGGAAGCACAAGTTCAAAGTAAAAGAAATGTATCTGACAAAGCTGCTGTCAACCAAGGTGCGCCTCCTGTCCCGGGCGGCTTTTGTGGCTGCCCTGGGGGGTGCAATGTGTTCCACTTAATTTCCACTGAACTGCGAGAATGTTACAGATCCCTTGTACCCTCTAGGGAAGCAAAATGAAACTTTAAATTGTAAACATTTCCTACCCCCTTCTTCTTCTTCTTTGTAAACTGCAGAGATAACAGCACTTTTCAAATTTCTACTGTAACACTTCAGATCAGGGATTTAATATTGTTCCCCATTCCTTTAGCCACCACTTCACTATTTTTTAGGTTGACAGTGTAATTACTCCTTTTTTTGTTATTATGAATGAGCAATAAAACTCCCTCTTTGAATTGCAAATAAAATGAAGGGGGGGGAATCAGTGACTAGAAACCTCACTGATTTTTTTTTTTTTTTCATTTTAAAATTAAGAATTCCGTTCACAGCCCTGGCTGGTGTAGCTCAGTGGATTGAGCGCAGGTCTGCGAACCAGAGGATTGTGGTTCAATTCCCAGTCAGGGCACATGCCTGGGTTGCAAGCCAGTTCCCTGCAGGCCAGTTCCCAGCAGGGGACGCACTAGAGGCAACCATACATTGATTTTCTCTCCCCCTCTCCTTCCCCTCTAAAGATAAATAAATAAATAAATAAATATTAAAAAAAAAAAGAATTCTGTTCACATATAAAAGTGTTACTTGTGAGAGTCAGTGGAATACTAAATTGGGAGCAGATCTCACTTTACCTGGCTTTTAGTGGGATTAACAGAAGTCTGTGGTGATCCCCCCCCGCCCCCAGTCCACGAAATGACTAGCAGTATAAATGCTATTACCTGCACCTGCTGGTCTCCTGCTGACGGGCTTCTCCCAGGGGCAGCAGAATGCCTGCATGGCGTTTAGTTGATTTGTTCAGTGGGTAGAGGACAGACCGAGCCTCTTGATTTTCTCATCTGTGCCACAGAGCTCTGCCTATTTGGTTTTTAGAAAACACTCAGATGCTTTGGATAGTACACAGTGAAACACCATCATAGAAATATACGCAACAGGAAAAATCCTGGGAACAGAGCAACATCACTTCAGTGCTTCAGGCCGCACGTGATGAGTGCGAGCCAAACATCCGTGGCTTCTTGGTTTATGTATAAGCCCTGCCCTGGCATGTTCTTTGCTGAGTTTTCCAGGCTATATCGTTCCTCGTGACTACACAGAGTTTATCAGCGAGACGCTCTGAACCAAATCTGAACCCGGGCCTGCATTTTCAGGCCCACTGGCCCACGCTGAGTGCTGGCCTCGTCAGAAAATTGTATATGCTTTTTCTTCAGCTTGTTTTTCTCCATTCTGCACATTTTCTCTGAACTTGGATTTGAATTTCCATCATGTTTTCAAAACCAATACCCAATTTGTTTTAATCTCCCAAGTCTGACGTTCTGTGTCTTTCAGGTGGCAATTCATTCTGTGCTGGAAAAACTTTTTAGAAGCATTTGGAGTTTACCCAACAGCAGGGCCCCATTTGCCATAAAGTACTTTTTTGACTTTTTGGATGCCCAGGCCGAAAACAAAAAAATCACAGATCCTGATGTCGTACACATTTGGAAAACGAACAGGTGAGAACAAACCTTAGGTGAGTACTGACTGTGTCCGAGCCCCGGGGACAGACTCTTAACTACGAGGAGGAGGACACAGCGGTTACAGAGTCTTCATTTATCCCCATGTCGGGGCCTTATGGTTCGTAAGCTACCCTGTCAAAGTGGTTTCTTGCTGTTACTATTTTAAACAATAAACAAAACTACTCTTATGCAGAGCTTCCTATTCCTTAAGTTAAAATAAAGTGTTATATTTAATGCATGAAAAAGACTTTCTTTAGAATGTTAAAACAAGTTTAGCTTGACCAGAAAAGATGAGAAATTAACTATATTTTGTGGTTTTATCATACAGTTTTCTATTAGAGAATAGTTTTCTATTAGATATGTCCTTCAGAGAATTAATCATTTTGCAATTTCCAAGCTTTCTATATTCAGTCCGATTCTCTATAGAAATTTCTGCTTTTATTTGGTCAAATGCCATACTCAGATTCCATGAGAATGAGCCAAAGGATTGTGCTTTACTTAGTTTTTTAACATTTTACCTTAAGCTAAGGCAAGGCAAGGCATCCAAATTTATTCTAAATTTCTCCTCAGGAGGGAAACATAGCTCATTACCTCTATTTGAAATGTTCTTTGTACGTGAGCAGAATAGGACTCAGAGTTACGCTGTAATTACTAGAACTCCTCAGTGCAAGCTCAAGCCCTCCCGAGCATTAAGGTTAGCCAGACCATTTAAAATAAGGATTAAAAGCTGAAATTCCAGGGGTCTGGGTCTGACCATCTCCCGTTTAATCCTAGTCTGTCCCAGCCCCACCAGGGCTCTCCCCCCTCCTGTGCTCCGGGCCCTGCAGCTCCCGCACCGAGACCGTGGCATCTGAGCAGGCACAGTCTGCTCAGCGGGGCTATTGAGAGGCCTGGTGGCCATCTGACGGGGGTAGTAGCTAGGTCAGAGTGGCAAAGTAGATTATGAAAGGACTTGGACTGTTCTGCAAGTTCATATTCAAATATTTATTTGAATACCTACTATGTGCCAACTACTACTAGATGCTGCAGATGTAGAAATGAGCTAAACAGACAAAAATCCATGTTCTCACAGAGATTGCGCTTTAATAGGTGGAAACAGACAATAAATCAAATAAGTAAACCGTAGTAGATTAGAAGGTGATCGGTGCAGTGGACAAAGTGGGAAAAGAGGACAGAGAGGGACAGGACCAGGTGGTCAGAAGCCCCACGGAGATGACATGTGAGCCAGGTATTTAAAGAAGTGAAGCCATAAACCATGGAACTGTCTGGGGCAAGGCAGTTTCAGCAACTGAAGCAACAAAAGCAGAAGTCCTGAGGCGCATGTGTGCCTGGAACACACGGAGAACAGCAAGGGGGCCGGTGGGATTAGGACTCCGGCAAAGAGCAGAAGGTGAGGGCCCAGGCCTGATCGGGAAGGGTTTTATTGGCAGGAAAACGGAGAGCCCAGTTCTGAGCAGAGGGACAGGATCTAATTGTATGTCGAGAGGGTTGCTAGTAGTTGTGAGAGACTGAGCTGGCAGAAGCTGGGACAAGATGGTGGCTTAGGCCAGGGTCTAACACTTGGAGTGAGAAGAGGTTACATTCTCAAGATTGGCTGAGCTGTTCTCATTGGTAATCATCATCTAATATAACCTAGGACTCTCTGGAGAAAATTTGTGTCTCGTCAGTGGCCACCTTCAGATTTCTCCTGCCCTCCCTCCCAGTGCTCCGCCAGTTTAACCCTTCCTTGTTCTGCACGATGCTGCCATCTGTTGCTTGGTATGGCTGGCAAAGCAGACCTGCACACTTCAGTAATGAGGGCAGACGCACGCTTTACAAACTGATGAACACAGCATCCGTGTCCCAGGAATGGCCATATCTGAAAAGACATTTCTGTCTCTCGGAACAGCCTTCCTCTTCGCTTCTGGGTAAACATCCTGAAGAACCCACAGTTTGTCTTCGACATTAAGAAGACGCCGCACATCGATGGCTGTTTATCAGTGATCGCCCAGGCGTTCATGGACGCGTTTTCTCTCACGGAGCAGCAGCTGGGGAAGGTAAGGCCAGCTCCAGTTTTCTTGTATGAGTCCGAAGCACTCTTTCTTGTAAATATTCAAATAATAAACAATTGGTCAGGATTACACCAGCTAAAAAGAAATAGTCAATTACGTCACTGAAAATTTGTTTTTCTTTAAAATCTGTCTTATTTCTATTTTAATCTAGTTTTTTAAGGGAAAATCAAAATAGTTGATTATTATACTCACCCTATTGCAGAACTCTTTACCATAAAATAGAAAACATTCTGCAGACACTAATAAACTATAAATTCAAAGTATAAAACTACTAAAGTTGGCCTAAATTAATTCCATCTGAATATCCCCCCCTCAAAATTTACTTAAATATAACAAATTGTTTTGCGGAAGAAAGTCTCACCTAAGATTTCAGCCACTACCAGTTTGTCAGTTTATAATCAAAACATCAATATTGTTTTTACTGTGGTTTTTCTTTGCTGAGCAAAAGCCTAAGAAAGCAAAGAAAGACGAAAATGCATAGCAAACTTTGAGAGGGATGTTTTGGTCCCGTTTGGGCACTCCACAATCTACTAAACTGCGCAGTCTGTAGCCAATGGACTTCAGAAAGTCTGTCGAAGCCAAGCGGTGTCTTTCAGGCAGAAGGGTTTTGGGGGTGCCTGCAGCGTAGTGAGATCGATTAAGACCAGATTGACTCCTGGTCTTGATCTAGACTCGCCATCACCCCATTTCTTCAAGACAAGCCCGTTTTTCACTTTTGTCTTTCTAAAGTTGCCTAGTCTCTCAGAGTAGAGTCTTGACTCCTCCTCTTTCCTCCCTCATGAAGGAAGAGGTTCCTTCCGCCAGCCTCTGCCCCCGTTGGTTACTGCTCACTTCGGTCTCGAAAACGTCTGTCCCTTCCTTCTCATCCCTCTGTCCTCTCCTTTCCTCCCCTCTCCACTGGGTTGACTGCCACCTGACCGGTGGCCTTGCCCCTTCTGTCCATCTCGACTCCCCAACGTTCCCTCTTCAGTGTCTCATGTTCTCTCTCCAAAACACAAATCAAATCTTGTCAGTCTCCTGCTTAAAACATTGTACATACCTCCCATTACCCACCACAGCCCTTTCTGAGTGCGCGTCAAGTCTCTTTTCTGGCCTCATCATTTTTTTGCAACCCCACACCCCTTCTGTACTACCGCTTTTACTTTTACTTTTCCCAGTCTACCATGAACTTGTATCATCTCCCTTTGCTCATCTCTTTCCTCTCTCATGACACACCTGAGTAAAATCATACTTATTCATTCACCCACAAACATGTCACTCATCCAACATGGCTTCTTAATGTGTACCAGCAACTGTGGGAGACTCAGATCGGCCTCAGCATCCCTACTCGGTGACCTTCGCCCTGAGGTAGTCCCCACAGACTTTCTTCATTTGACCAATAAAGTTCTTTCTAGCAGGTAACACATTGAAAGCCACTTAAATGTTTTATTTACTCAGAGTAAAAGTTGGCTTGGTTTACGGGTTACTATGTTCTCGGTATATTTCAATTAATGCTCACAAGAACCACATAAGGTAGTTAATATCACCCTCATGTTATAGATGAGAAAATTGATGTTCTAAGAGGTTACAAATCTTGCCTAAGACCAGAAAAAGCTACTACAATCCCTGATTCCCCCAATTCTACAGTCCCTTCCGTTACTCTTCACCCTGCCTCTAATTACAGGTCTCCAAGTAAGCACCGTGTGTTTGTCTCCTCGACCACAGAGCATAAGCTTCTAAAGAGCAGGTCCCATTATCCCTCATCCTTTTACCCCCATTGCCTGCCCCCAAAAATCTTTAATGAGTGATTGTATGATTTGTGGGTTCTACTTAAACTTCACAAGTGAAAAAGAATCTCAGTATAGGGATGATTCACGCATCAAGCCAATGATACAGCCATTCAAGCCATCGATACATTTTCAAACGTATTGGGATGTTAGCCCTTATTACTGACTTATGTCCCTTGAGAAGAATTTTCTTTTTTAACTTTTGTGAAAAATCATGACTTAAACTAAAATCACTTACTTTCTAATTATATCAGTGTAATAATTGCATGAAGACATTCAGGGAACTTTTGCAAAATCAGCACCAGATCCACCTATGGAACTGACCAGGCGCTTCCCTGAGGGCAGTGGGAGAGCTTTACAATCTGTTAAACAGGACAGGCCACGGCCAGCCACTCACCACTTCCACGGTTATAAGAAGGGTTCACTCAGACCTACGGTCACATCTTTTAGAAATGCCAGAATTCGAGGGTGGGTGAGGATGAGAGCAAATGTTTTAATTCAGGCTTTTTACAGCTATTAGTAATGAAGTATGATTGAAATAAGCTCCATTGTTACCGTAACTCAGATCATGCAAAATAATAATTTTAGTTCTTTTATGAGAGGAAGGCAGAATGTATTAGCATTTAATCTGCCTGAAAATAACAGTGACTCACCAGAAGTATCTGGGTGGCAGTCAGTCACCCAGTGCACATTTTTGAAGGCCTGCTGCCTGCAGAAGCCTCGTGCAGGAGGCGGTGGGGGGGGAGGGGCTCGGCTACATCGGTGGTGTGCCGAATTCCCTGGTCCCTTCACCCCTTCGGTGGTGGTTGCTTTCTTCTTCCTCTTTCTCTTTCCCTCTCTCCTTTTTTATAGGAAGCACCAACTAATAAACTTCTCTATGCCAAGGATATCCCAACCTACAAAGAGGAAGTGAAATCTTATTACAAAGCAATCAGGGATTTGCCTCCATTGTCATCTTCAGAAATGGAAGAATTCTTAACTCAGGAATCTAAGGTATGGTTGGAAAGTAGAAATAAAATCTTCAGTTCCTTTTTTTTTTTTTAAAGAAGTTGTTTCAGAATCTCTCAACAAGACTTTCTTTTTTTTTTTTTTTTTAAGAAACATGAAAATGAATTTAATGAAGAAGTGGCCTTGACAGAAATCTACAAATACATCGTAAAATATTTTGATGAGGTAAGATTTTTACATGACCCTTAAAAAAGTGGGTATGACTCAGTTACCAGGACTGGCTGAAAGCATTCTGTAGGTCTCAGGACAACTCTGGCACCGCAGACGGCCGGAAGAGGGAGGCCAGCGTGCCTGCTGGGGGATCCTGGCACCAGCCAGACCCTGCAGTTGGCTGCCGCCCCTTTGTAGTTTCATGTTGCCCACTTTCGGACCAGCCTGAATTTACATTTGAGTTAGTGGGGCTACAGCTACACTGACACAAGCTAACTTTGATGAGTAGTCGTGGTCCTACTAAGCGGGGCCAGCTTATGCTTGATGGTAATCTGCTGAAATGAAAGCTAAGCTTGTTAAATCGCCTAGATTCTGTATTCAATAGTTATGTGAAAGAATGACATTTTTCTAATTTAAGCAAGTATTTCAATAAACCATTCTCCTTAATGATTAAATCTTCTTAATCTGGATTTTTTTCTTTGGGAATTCACACAGACAGTCATCAGATGCCTTAACATATTTGTTTCCAAATATATGTTAATTCCCCCTTCCCTGATTCCCCCCACTCAGTCATGCTGGGACAGGCTATCCATGTCAATGGTGAGAATAGCTCACCAATTCCATTTGCTACTTGAAGATCAAGTGAAGAGCTAAGGTAGGGTAGAGGCAATGAGTTCCTTAAACATGATAAGCATCCCTCTTTCCAGGGGTCAGGGGTTAGAAGGGAAGCACTGGGGAAGGGAGGGGAGGGGAGGGAGAGGGAGAGGAGGGACTAGACTGCCCAGGATGGGAGGGGAGGGGTGGGAAGGGAAATAGTCGTCTCTGACCAGGATGCCCCTGTGCCTGCTGCATTGAAGAAGACACACTTGCCTGCATGCTGGCTGCCCAAAAATGCTTGCTGTGCTTGGAATGGCTGTGACATAATGCACAAAACAGGGCCTTGGAGGTGTGGCCCCATATTTGTAAGCAAACAGTTGGTATTTCTTGCAAGCTTCTATTTGAAGCCAAAGTGTTGATCCTGTGATAATGACTTAACAAAACAACTTGCAAAATGAGTATGTAAATGATCAAAGAAAATGATGACATCTGCTTCAGTTTACCACTCACAGCATCAGGAATGCAAAAAAAAAAAAAAAAAAAGAATTGTAATGCTAAAACCACAGTATCTAAAATAACTGTTCTAATTGTCAACAGATTCTAAATAAACTAGAAAGAGAACGAGGGCTGGAAGAAGCTCAGAAACAACTCTTGCATGTAAGAGTCTTATTTGACGAAAAGAAGAAATGCAAGTGGATGTGAGCACTCTGGGGCCTGGCTTAATCTGGCAAAGTTCTTCAGACGACTTGAGAGCAAAATGGCTGCTCGAGCTACTCTGCACCGTTAATTTTTAAAGTTTGCACATAGGTTCCACTTTGAGCACTGTCTGTAAGAGACCAAGGCACATGCACAGCTTACTACTGTGCCTGTGTGTATAGTGTGGGAACCCTTTTGTAAATAGAGTTGAAGTGGTTGTTGCAGACAGCCTCCTTGTTTACAGAGAATACAGGGCCAGTAAGCAAGTGTCGGTATTGTAACTACAGTCTCCACTTAAGCACAATGATGTAAGTGGTTTTGTTTGAAAACTACAGCTAGGTAGCACTTGTGACTACACCGCACCTCTGCAGAAAAGGGACGCTGCCAGTGACGAAACAAAATGTGAAGCGAGTCATTTGGAAACAAGGCGGAGGTGTTAGGGCAACCTTGAGGATTTGCAGCAGCAAAACGTTCCATAGTAGTTCTTGGAAAAGTCGACAGCAGAATTTGGTAGTGTGTACACTTAGCATTTGTGAGTGTGTGTATGTGTTTTTAAACCAAAAACTAACAGTGTTGCAACATTGTTGAAAGGGCTCGTGTTTTTCAGTGGTCGCCAACTGCACTCCATCACTCACCTCCATTTCACTAGCGGGCTCTAAAGCAAGGAGAGTGAGTAGGCTTTATTTAAATGCACAATGTTTGATCCAGACACTTTGTCTTAGGGTTATGTTCCTTCCTTTCACTTTACTTTTTCAAACTGATTGCATTTGATAATGGACATGATGGGTGTTAAAAAAAATCTTGAGTTCATTTCTGTCTAAAAACTTTGATCAGACTTGTGGAGCAGTAACTCACTCCCCTAATCCTACATTTCTATCCTGGAGTCTTCTTGCTTTAGAGTTCTGGTGAATCAATCCTGTGGTTATAAATACTTGTGTGTGATTAAAAAAAAGATACATTTTACATTTCATGAAATTGCTGTTCACACTGGAGTATTATATATGAATATATATATTTGAGGCCCAAGGCCTGAAAAATATTAGTATAAAACTTGGTATCTTAGTCTTACTCTGTACTTTTTGAAAGTATTCCTCACAAGGAAAATTAAAAATACTCATCTTATTCATGCCTTTTTTTTTAAAAGAATTTCTTATACAGTAGTCTTTTTATTGCTGGTTTTTTTATTCCTGAAATTTTGCTGCTCATGACCAATTTTAATACCACTGTGGTTTCCTTCTAGTCAATCAGAAGTCAAAAGCATACTTAGCAACTGTCAAACTTTCCTTGTGGCACCTTTTGTTCTTGGTGCTCCCAATCCCAGTTTGAGGAAAGTCATTTTTTTCAAGTAGCAAATAAAACATTGATCACACGTTCCTTAAAATAACTTACCAACACTGTACGGGATATCAGGATTTAAACGTGAATTTGTCTTGGATAAATGCAATTTCTTTTGCTCCTCGGTATCTGGTAAGAAGTGAGAGGTGACACCTCAACCAACCGAACAGAGAAAAAAAGCAGTTATGCCCTTACAGGTACCTTCCCGATCCCATCGCTTTCGACCAATGGACACACCTCAAAAATACTACCAAATAGGTGACTTACGAGTAAGTGTTAGGGTGAGAGGTCTGGCCCCCACCCAAGGCTGCTGCAGTCTTGATGTGAAGGTGTGCAGAAGAGAACAAACCGTAGGAGAGTTGAGAGCCAACGGTAGGAGAGTTGCCCAAAAGACTTCCCCTTCTTTAGGGTACAGAAATGTTAGGAAAACTTGAAGGAAGAGCTACAGCTTTCTCTGAGTATTTTGTAAAAGCTCCATGAGGGTGTCCCCGTCCAGCTCTGTGGCACATGAGTCCTGTGTGGAGACTTACCTCCTCTTCCAGGGACTGTGCTGCTGGGAACTTTGGGCAAGTCACTTACCTCTTTGTGCCTCAATTTCTGTGTAATATTTCTTTTTAGCCTACCTCACTGAGGTGGTGTGAAGAATCACTAATATATGTAGCGTGTTTGTCAATCCTCCAGTGAAAAGCACTATCTAGATCACATTTTGGATCCCATTAGTCAAACGCAGTAAATGGCCAAATTCGATGTGTGCCGAAGACAATCAGTCACTGGGTCCATATTAAATAGCAACCAGAGAAACAAATGGCAAACAATTTAGAGTTTCAAGTTTCTTTGCATATTTTTTGGTGCAAAACCATTTATAAACTTTTTTTTCCCTAACACTAGTGTCTACAGCAGCATTTAAAAATTCTGTTAACTTTTCTGTATTAGAGATTTAAAGTCTATTTCTTATTGTATACCTGATTGAAGCTGTTCTTGGAGATGAATGTTTTAAATGTCTATATCCAAAAAATAAACATTTTGATGTAAATATGGACTATTCTTGCCTTTTTTTCCTTCCAATTTTCTACTTAATAGGTTTGTTGTTTTTTGTTTTGTTTTTAGTTCAAAATGGGTCCAGAGAACCTGACGTGTTTTTCAGGTGTGCACTCTGTGTGAGTGAGCAGCTTCACTATGCAGGGAGTGAAGTCAGTGTCCCCTAAATGACGCCGAGGGCTGCTCAGCTGCACTGCTGGCCCCACTGTCACCTCAGACTCTTGACGGGGAAGACTCCCGGACAATGGACACTTCAGTTGGTTCGGCAACTCCAGCTTTGCCTTGTGGACGTGAAGTTATTCCAGCAGAACTCCTTTAAAAGATGATGTTACACAAAAAAGCAAATGATAACATACTCAGGGATGCACAGAAACAAGGCATTGATAGGAATTTGGGTAGAGGCACAGCAGTGGGAGGCAAAGAGTTAAGTACCAACAATACTTCTAAAGGGCCCCCACTGGGTTCAAGTTTTACAGCAGTGACCTTTTGTCTTATAAAGCCACAGGATTTAATTATTTGTACTTTGTTATTTTCTGTTAGGTCTAATTTAAAAGTCAAAATCAGTGAGATCTTCTACATTGCTAAATATAGCCTGTATGGTTGAAAAATCAGACACAAGACCATATATCTAGATAAAAAATATTTATTAAGCTCTTTAATAAATTATGTGCACAGAGATTTTAGATATCTTTAAGTTGTATTTTTATGCTGATCTTTAAACTGTCATCTTTTTTTCAAGAACTAGAGGTTTATAACTCTCACACAGTAAACTGGAAAATGTTTACTGACCCCATTATTGCCAAGCATCTCAAAGAAGAGGAAGAAGGACTTCGTTTGACACGGGCGTATTTCAGGCAAGACAACAGCAAAATTCAAGCAAGTAAAAGTAATAAAATAATTTTAAAATTTGATTCCCTAAGTAAATATATTCCTTTTATTTTTTGACATTCTCAAAGGGCTGTCCATAAATACTCTAAACGTCTCTGAATCTGTGTTCATGCTTCACTTGTTGTTAGTGTGATTCTAACACAATACAGCACACAGCTGTCAGTCACCTTTTCTTGAGATAAACTCGAGGGTTTTGGCCAACAGTAATAAAGTATCTAAATTGCCACATGGGTTAAAACTTCAAGCTTTATTGAGTCACTGATTCATTCCTTTTGATCTTTTTCTGAAACACATCATTCCCCAGGTGGCCCGAGTTCCTCTAGTTGTTTTCTTTGTGTTGTTTCTAGTTCTTCTAGTCTTTTCCGAAGTAGAGACAGTTCCCTTTGATGCTGTTCCTCCTTAAAAGCACAGAAAAAGAGGTAAAAAAAAAAAAAAAAACCACAGAAAAGGCTCAGAGAAAGAGACTTAGAAAAACTGGAAAAATAACTTGGGCAGCAGCCTGGGTCCTCTGTCACTGGGCGGTCCGAGAGCACGGCCGCACCGCCGCTCCGCCTGCCGCCGTCCTGCCTCCCGCTCCCGCCTCGAGCAAACCACAGGTCTGTCCTTCTCGCGGAGTAAGATTCACCAGGAAGGGAATTAGAAACCAATCATGCAGGGCCTATAGGTACACTTACATGACAACTTTCCAGCAAGACTGGAGTTTAATAGTTTATTATAAAGAAAACACTTGGTCTGAGATTCAGTGCAGTGACTAAAGTCTTACAGCATTATAAAATGTAATTACTTATTAATAGTTCATCTTCTGAAAATCATCCAACCAATCTGATTCCTTCAATATCTCAAGGACTTCATACTGTAGAGAATTAGCCCAGGTTTTAGAATCAGACAGATACAGGTTGAAACTCAACCCTGTCAATTATCAGTTATGAACTTAGGGAAGTCACTTCCCCTCTCTGATTCAGTTTTATAATCTGTAAATTTGAAATAATAGTACCTTTCCTCAAAGCATTTTTCATTAGGATTAAATACTGTATGAAAATGCACAGTGCAGTGCACTAGTCAATGTGTGGTAGTAGTATTGTATGAATGAGCTACAAACTTTAGAAATATTCAAAACATTCATCAATCTAGTTCCGTTTTAATTGCTTAATAGAGCACCATCACTAGAAAATAGAATAGATTCATATCGATTTTGCTTCTCAGCAAATTTCTCTAGTAAAGAAAATTTTGAGTTTTTTCCTGCATTAACAGGTACAAACTTAGAGAAACATTGGCCTAACTTCTGCCCTAAAATAAATGCTCATACCTGCATATGAGGAGGAAAGGCCAGTTCCATGCCTGGGACCACGGCTGATGACTGAAAGCTGGCAGGATTGGCCGATGCTGTGGGAGGTATGTTAGGGACCAAAATTAAACTTCGAAATTCATTATGTCTTCTCTGTATATCCTTTAGTCTTTTTCGAAGCCTTGTATATTCTTCAAATGGAACATTTTGTCTTGAAAAGAAACAAAAAGTGTTTCTGTTCTTTAATACAATTATACTCTATTGAAGAACAATGGGATTCACAAAAGTTTGAAGAGGAAGAGGATCACTAAATTATAAGGTTTATCGGTATATAATATATATAAAATTATGTTAATCAAGAAATAAAAACATATGAAATGGCATCTTAATTATATGTATTCTTGTTACCATTGTACTGCAGGCTATCAGCTCATTTTGAGCTTTTATTTGCCAATTAATCAAAAATCTCTTGATACTTATATTTTCATTTCTACTCCACTCCCCCAGCCCATGAACCCTGAAACTTGAAAGGAGACAACTGAGCCCTAAGGGCACCTAATTTACAGAAGGGATGGAGCACATACAGAAAAACATCGAGTTGAATCTTATTAAATTGACTTTTTTTAGGTAAACTATGGTCAAATGTAGGGAATTTCCTGTTGTTCAATGTACTTTTTAAAAAATGTAGCTTAATGACAAAAGCAAAGTCCCAACGACAGGGAAAACAGGCCGTGGGTAAAAGAGCGAACTTCTCAGGCCTTCACGGGCCTCCTTTTGGACACGAACTTCCTGAGCACTGACCACACCGGAAACCACACAGTTCTCCAACCTCTCCCAGTGCTAGATGATCTGTGCCATAGCTCCCAATCGCGGATTGATAGTATTTCAAAATTAATGATCATGAAAGAGGGAGTAAGTAGAATTTTAGAATGAATTTGGTGGCATCTTACTTTGGAGCAGTATTATTATAAAGTTGGCATTAATTCCACAGTCTAGAAACCTCTTGGTTGTTATAAAATAACAACTACTTACATTTTGGTGATTATACTCAAGAAGGCCAGAACACATTTCAAAACATCACTGCTTGATATGATAGGCAGTTTCCATTTCAGAAAAATTTGATGCAGTCTAAATATTGAAGGGCTACCACTAATTAGCTGAATTTGCAAAGTTTTTATTATTGACTTGAATCAAATGTGTCATCGATGCCACTGCCACTAACTTAATATGGGAAATCTCTGCTCAAAAATGGTGACAAAGATTACTAGCTGTGCTTTGATGTCAATAAAAACCTACAAGTCACAGCCCTCTGATGTTTTTCCACACTGAAAACTAATCTTTGATTCAAAGTGGCAGCCACCATTCTAGAACTTACTATGCAATCGCTGCAATTGCCCTGTGACAGCAACGAGAACTCACATGGCCCCTGGTTACCAAAGCCAGGGATGGCCCTTCCCATCAGCCCCACCCTAACACCAACACTGGCCCGGGTTGGCAGCCCTTGGGTTTGAAGGAGCATTCAGTGTGTGTGTGTGTGGGGGGGGGGGGAGTGAATTAGGAGTATAATGAATAGTTTGGGAATTCTTTTTTTTTTTTTAAATATTTATTTTTATTTATTTATCTTTAGAGGGGAAGGGAAGGAGAGAGGGAGAGAAACATCAATGTACGGTTGCCTTTCGTGCATCCCCTGCTGGGAACTGGCCTGCAGGGAACCGGCCTGCAACCCCGGCATGTGCCCTGACTGGGAATCGAACCGTGATTGTCTAGTTCGCAGGCCTGCGCTCAATCCACTGAGCTACACCAGCCAGGGCTGAATAGTTTGGGAATTCTTTTAAATGTATATTTTAAAAGAAAACAAAGTGCACAATGCCCAGAAACAAAGTTCTAGGATACTAAATAACCACACGGGGAGATATATGCATACAAACACATTACCTATTTAACACTTGATTTTCTGTTTCCAATTCTTCTTTCTTTGCCTCCAAGACTTCTATTTTCTCCTGCAGTCTCTTCAATTTGTTTTCATGAAGAGATTTTCTCTAGAAAAAACAATATGAGCAAGTATATGAATAGTTTCCTTCCTATTTGAATAAAACTACATTATATAATGGTGAATATTTTACTCACCAAAATAATTTTATTTAGAGATGAGTATTTCCAGTCACAACTAGGAACCAAGATTAGTAGATACGATTCTTACTGAAAATTGCAAAGGTAATAAGCCACAGATCTACCTCATACCCTCAACGTGACAAACAGAACTGTTGCGAATGCTGAACAAGAAAACTGGTATCAATGACTACATTGCTGCAAGTAACAAAACCTAAAAAGGAAAGGAGTCAAATTTTATGTATGAGTTTGCCCGCTACCTGATAAGTAATCATGAGCTCTTCATTTTCACATAAGACATCATGTGTTTTCAAAAAACGCTAAAACAAAACTTAAAGTTAAAAGCATGTTTGCAATTGATAAACTGCTACCAAAGCAGTAAATTAAAGGATCGAAAGCTAAGAGAAATTATGGGCGCATTTCCATTGAAAAGTGTGATTTTCTGAATACTTAAAAAATTAAAAAGTAAACTTTACAAAGGGAAAAATTTTAATATGGAAAATCCATATATAATGCAAAAGCAGTGTATAAAAATAATATTATTTTTCAGTTCTATAAACAAGTTGTTTTTTACAGGAAAACACCTATTATGCTACCTATCCTTTAGTAGCTGCAGGCAGACCTTTTAGGTATTTGTTTTCTTACCTTTTTTTGTTGTTGCAGTGTAACAAACAGGCTGACAGAAAAATGCACACAACATAGATGTAAGGCAAACGTAAAACCACAAAGCAAATGCTGGGGTCATGACCTCACAGATCAACAGAACTGCTAAACCTGAAGTGCCCCTCCCTTCTCTTTTCAATCTCTGTCCCCTCTGTCCTCTGAAAAGGTTGCCTACTACTTCCCTTCCAAAGCTATAGTATAATTTTGCCTATTTTTGAACTTCATATGAATGGAATCAGTTTACATTCTCATACAAATGGCTTTTTTCTTTCAATCAATATTGTGAGAATTATTCACGCTACTGCTTATTGGTATAGTTCATTCATTGCTGCATATTGTGTTCTACTAGTGAATATTATGTAGTTTATTATTTTACCCACTCCACCATTCAGGGTCACCTTGTTTGTTTCCAGTTGGAAACTAACACTGCTACCGGCTCCCTCCCATGCTTCCCACCCCCAGCACCCCAGTTTGTGACTTCACCCGTCCTCCGGCAAGGGAATTGCTCTTCTGTCCTTAACCACAAGTATATATTTATACACTTATGGGTAATTTAGGACTTTGCCTATCCATCCACCCACCCACCCATGTGAAAGAAAGGCAGTCACTCCCTTTTGCATCTGGGTTTTTTGCTGTTGTCTAACACTTTATCTGTATGACTACACAAGGTACTTACTGTCTTGTCACAGTGCTTTCCCATTGTTATGCAATCGTCCACTTCACAGATATGCAGCATTTTATACAGTCTCCTACTTAGGGAAATTTGAATGTTTCCATTTTGAGACTATTATGAATTAAGTTTCTACGAACGTTCCTGAACATGTTTTTGGTGGATATATGTCCTCATTTCTCTGAAGCATATACTGAGGAGTGAGTCAGAGTAAGCATGTTTTAGCTTCTGTAAATATGGCCAGTTTTCTTACGTGGTTCTACTAATTACGGGAGAGTTCCTACTGTTCTACATCCTTGTCGACACTTGGTATGGTCAGTCTTTAAATTTCAGCTGTTCTCGTGGAGTAGAAGAGTACGTCAGTGCAGTTTCAATTTGAGTTTTCTTGCTGTCTAATCAGGGTGTTTATGCACAGTGGCCATGTAGATACACCTTTTTTGAGGAAGGGCTCTCCAAGTCTTTTGCCCTTTAAAAATTTTTTAGTAGTCTGTTTACTGATTTGCTGGAGTTCTTTCTGTATTCAGAATAAGAATCCTTTGTCAGATACACAGAGTGGGGCAAACGTAGGTTTACAAACGGTTGTGAGTATGCACAACTGTACATATTGTGCTATTTATTATTGTACTATTCTCCATACAACAACTTCAAACCTACTTTTGCCCCACCCTGTATGTAGTGCAGATTGACATCCTCAAAGTCTGTGATAGTATTTTTTTTTCTTTCAAGGATGTCATTTTACTTTTAAAAAAGTCTTTAATTTTAATAAAATCCAAATTATCATCCATATCTTTGATGGTTAGTGCTTTTTATGTCCCGTTTTAAGAAATGTTTATTTATGCCAAGACCTTAAGATTTCCTCCACAAGTTTTCTTCTAGCAGCTTAATATTTTTAACTTTTCACATTTGGATCTGTGGTTCATTTTTAATCTAGTAAGGTTGGTTAAGGATAACCAACTGACTCAGCACACTTTGTTAAAAAGATCATCCTTTCCCTGTTGAAATTCAGTGGTACTTTGTGGTAAAGCAGGTGTTCATATTCGCGTGGGTCTATTTCTGGTCTCTCTTCTATTCTGTTAGTCAATTTGTCTATCCTTACGCCAATACCACACTGTTCTCATTACTGCAGCTTATAATAAGTCTTAATATCTAATAGTGTAACTCCTCCACCTGTGCTGTTATTCTTTTAATTGCCTTGGTTATTCAACTCCTTGGTACTTTCATATGCATTTTAGAACCTACTTTCCAATTTCCACAAAGAACTGCTGGGACTTTGATTAAGATTATACTCAATCTACAGACTAATCCTGGAAGAAGTGACATCTTAATAATGTTGACTTCCAAATCATGTACATGGTATTGTTTTGTGTTTTTTTAAATCTAGGCCTTCTTTAATTTTTCTTAGCAACATTTGTAGTTTTCAATGTAGAAGTTTTGCACATCTTTTGCTAGATTTGTTCCTACGTATGTTGGTTTTTTTAATGATAGTATAAATGGTAACTGTCTTCTTTTCTTTTTTAAAAAGATTTAATTTATTTTTAGAGAGGGGGAAGGGAAGGAGAGAGAGGGAGAGAGACATCAGTGTGTGGTTGCCTCCCGAGCGCCTCTCAATGGGGACCTGGCCTGCAACCCAGGCATGTGCCCTGACTGGGAATTGAACCAGTGACCCGTTGGTTTGCAGCCCATGCTCAATCCACTGAGCTACACCAGCCAGGGCAACATCTTATTTTCTGATGTTTGTTGTGTATGAGAATTGAGATAGTGGTCATCAGGGAAGTACAAATCAAAAATACATATCACCTCACATCTATTTGAACGGCTAAGTATCAAAAAAACAAGAAATAGTGAGGTTGTGGAGAAAAGGGAACCCTGTGCACTGTTGGTGGGAATGCAGACCGGTGCAGCCACTGTGGAAAACAGTGTGGAGGTTTAAAAAATTAAATATTGAATTACCATATGTTTCAGCAGTTCCACTTCTGGGTATTTATCTGATGAAAACAAAACACTAACTCAGAAAAGATACAGGCACCCCATGCTCACTGCAGCGCGGTTTACAACAGCCAAGAAATAGAGGCAACCTCAATGTCTATCAATAAATTAATACAGAAAATGTGAGACACATACACAATTATTATTGAGCCACACAAAAGAAAATCTTGACATTTGAGACAACACTGATGGACATTAAGAGCATTATGCTAAATAAAATAAGCCAGACAAAGAAAGATAAAGTAACACATAATCTCACATGTTGTGGAATCTAAAATGAAACCCTGAACTCACAGACACGGAAAACAGACTGGTGGTTGCTAGAGGCGGGGGTAGAAGGCACATGAAACGGGTCAAAGGGGTTAAAGGTTCAAACTTCTAGTTATAAAATAAGTCACAAGGAGGTATGTACAGCACAGTGAAGTTCTCATCACAAGAAGAGAAAACTTCGTAACTGTGTGGCAATGAGTGCTAACTCGACTTACTGCAGTGATGACGTCACAACAGATGGTCCTCAACTTACAATTGTTTGACGTATGATTTTTAAATTTTACAATGGTGTAGAAGCAATATGCATAATAAATGAGATTAAACACATTATAAAATAGGCTTTGTGTTAGATGACTTTACCCAACTGAAGGCTAATATCATTGTTCTGAGCATGTTTAAGGTAGGCTAGGCTAAGCTATGATGTATTAAATGCATTTTTGATTTTTGAGATTTTCAACTTACGATGGGTTTATCAGCATGTAACCCCATCAAAAATCAAGTAGCTTCTGTGTATACAAATACTGAATCACTATGCTGTATACCCGAAACTAATATAACATTATATGTCAAATATAACAAAAATATTCTTGTGCTCTGTAATAGCCTAAGATGGCAAGTATAGTAAAATTATTCGTGAACACTTAAATTTAGTTATTTTTACAGAATTGTTAGAAATAATAAAAATAAATAGGACAACCAAAGAAGATAACTGATGTTTTCTGTTACCCCAACAATCTTTAAACTGCACATATTAACTTTAACAGTTTGAAAGATTTGTGTTTTTACTCATATATAATGGTATCATCTGTGAATGACTATTTTACTTCCTTTTTCTAATTTTATACATTTTGTTTTTTTCTTAGCTTATTACACCAGCTAGTACTTCCAATAAAATGTTGAACTAAGTGGTGATAGTGAACATACTTGCTTTGTTCCTGAACTTGGCAGGGTAGGGGGAGGCAATGAATATTTAAGCAGTAAGTATGATGTTTGTAGATACAAATATCTCTTCTATTCCTATTTGAATAGTTTTTATCACGAAAGAGTGTTAAATTTTATTAAATTGTTTTTATACATCTATTAAGATGATCACAATACTTCTTTGTTCTACTAGGGTGTTGAATTACAATGGTCACTTTTGAATGTGAAGCCACCTTATAATACTAAGCTAAACCCTACATGCTCATGATATATTACCATCTTCATTTATCACTAGATTCAGTTTACTAATATTTAAGATTTTTACATCTAAGTTTGTGATATAATTCTCTTTCCTGATAATAATTATATTGGGTTCTAACCTCATAAAATAAGTGTGATGTATGCCTCTATTTCTTGGCT